GGCAGCCCCAGACCTGGCCATGCATTGACTGTGACTTTTGATTATTTGTATCCTCGAGGTCACTGGGAAAGCTTGACACCAGGAAGAGGCCTGGTTGGCATTATGCCCTTGGCTCCATACCCTCTTAGGGGGAGGGACTCTAATATTTACCTCCCCCAGCCCAGCCTTCTCTCCTGGGCTCCAGACCAAAGATCCAAATGTCCACTCAAGGTCTCCACTGTGTGTTCTGTGGAGAACTTAACCTTCACAAAATCTGAGCTCTTCACCAACAGCGAAGATCCTCCTTGACTCTCAGTCAATGGGACAGAGCCTCTACCCCAAGATGTTCCAACGGTCCCCCCACGGGTACCTCGGGAAGTGCTGGCTCAGAATTAAAGTACCATTCACTCATGAGCCTCCCCAGGCTATTTAGCCACCCACTGCCAGGCTCTGATGGCCCTGGGGTCTTTCCTGCCTGCAGCTTAGAGCCATGGGGAGACCCTCGAGTTCAGTGTCCCGGAGTGACAGGTCCCCTGTGTTTCTGTCAGAACTCATCTACTTGCAGGTTGTGGAGAACAAACGTTAACAAGGAGAATTTCATTGGCTCACAATAAAAAATATGTGTTTCTTGAAGCACCTGGTAGTGCCAGTCACGACCCAACCTCCTCCTTCAACACTAACTACCTCACGACCCAACCTCTTCCTTCAACACAACTACCCTATGACCCAACCTACTCCTTCAACACATACTACCTCACGACCCAACCTCCTCCTTCAACACATACTACCTCATGACCCAACCTCCTCCTTCAACACATACTACCTCATGACCCACCCTCCTCCTTCAACACTAACTACCACACAACCCAACCTCCTCCTTCAACACTAACAACCTCACGACCCAACCTCTTCCTTCAACACAAACTACCCTATGACCCAACCTCCTCCTTCAACACAAACTACCTCACGACCCAACCTCCTCCTTCAACACTAACTACCACACAACCCAACCTCCTCCTTCAACACTAACTACCACACGACCCAACCTCCTTCTTCAACACAAACTACCTCACGACCCAACCTCCTCCTTCAACACTAACTACCACACAACCCAACCTCCTTCTTCAACACATACTACCTCATGACCCACCCTCCTCCTTCTACACTAACTACCTCACGACCCAACCTCCTCCTTCAACACTAACTACCTCACGACCCAACCTCCTCCTTCAACACTAACAACCTCACGACCCAACCTCTTCCTTCAACACAAACTACCTTATGACCCAACCTCCTCCTTCAACACAAACTACCTCACGACCCAACCTCCTCCTTCAACACTAACTACCACACAACCCAACCTCCTCCTTCAACACTAACTACCACACGACCCAACCTCCTTCTTCAACACAAACTACCTCACGACCCAACCTCCTCCTTCAACACTAACTACCACACAACCCAACCTCCTTCTTCAACACATACTACCTCATGACCCACCCTCCTCCTTCTACACTAACTACCTCACGACCCAACCTCCTCCTTCAACACTAACTACCTCACGACCCAACCTCCTCCTTCAACACTAACTACCTCACGACCCAACCTCTTCCTTCAACACAAACTACCCTGTGACCCAACCTCCTCCTTCAACACAAACTACCTCACGACCCACCCTCCTCCTTCAACACTAACTACCACACAACCCAACCTCCTTCTTCAACACTAACTACCACACCATCCAACCTCCTTCTTCAACACAAACTACCTCACGACCCAACCTCCTCCTTCAACACTAACTACCACACAACCCAACCTCCTCCTTCAACACTAACTACCTCACGACCCAACCTCCTCCTTCAACACTAACTACCTCACGACCCAACCTCTTCCTTCAACACAAACTACCCTATGACCCAACCTACTCCTTCAACACATACTACCTCACGACCCAACCTCCTCCTTCAACACATACTACCTCATGACCCAACCTCCTCCTTCAACACATACTACCTCATGACCCACCCTCCTCCTTCAACACTAACTACCACACAACCCAACCTCCTCCTTCAACACTAACAACCTCACGACCCAACCTCTTCCTTCAACACAAACTACCCTATGACCCAACCTCCTTCTTCAACACAAACTACCTCACGACCCAACCTCCTCCTTCAACACTAACTACCACACAACCCAACCTCCTTCTTCAACACATACTACCTCATGACCCACCCTCCTCCTTCTACACTAACTACCTCACGACCCAACCTCCTCCTTCAACACTAACTACCTCACGACCCAACCTCCTCCTTCAACACTAACTACCTCACGACCCAACCTCTTCCTTCAACACAAACTACCCTGTGACCCAACCTCCTCCTTCAACACAAACTACCTCACGACCCACCCTCCTCCTTCAACACTAACTACCACACAACCCAACCTCCTTCTTCAACACAAACTACCTCACGACCCAACCTCCTCCTTCTACACTAACTACCTCACGACCCAACCTCCTCCTTCAACACTAACTACCACACCATCCAACCTCCTTCTTCAACACAAACTACCTCACGACCCAACCTCCTCCTTCAACACTAACTACCACACAACCCAACCTCCTCCTTCAACACTAACTACCTCACGACCCAACCTCCTCCTTCAACACTAACTACCACACCATCCAACCTCCTTCTTCAACACAAACTACCATACGACCCAACCTCCTCCTTCAACACTAACTACCTCATGACCCAACCTCCTCCTTCAACACAAACTACCACACGACCCAACCTCCTCCTTCAACACAAACTACCACACAATCCAACATCATCCTTCAACATAAACTACTACACCATCCAACCTCCTCCTTCAACACAAACTACCACACGACCCAACCTCCTCCTTCAACACAAACTACCACACAATCCAACATCATCCTTCAACATAAACTACTACACCATCCAACCTCATCCTTCAACACATGACCCAACCTCCTCCTTCAACACTAATTCCTCATGACTCAACCTCCTCCTTCAACACAAACATCAACACCAGCAGTTTTCCATGATGTCGGAGCCTCCTAGACTTTCCCAGTTCATGGACCCTTAACATCCCAATGTTTGTGGGTACATGCGTGTGTGTGTGTGTGTGTATGTGCACACGTGTGGTGCTAGGAATTGAATCCATGCTAGGCAAGCACTGTGTGTTCTTAAACCAAAAGAAATCCCAAAAAGTTGCATTTATTGAGTTGTTGGGCCAAACAACTTAACCGTGGTAGGTGCTTGATGTCCCATATGTATTGTGGCTCCCCTCATGTCCAACAGAGGTCCCTGTGCATCCATCGTCACGCAGGTGTCTGTAGAGGTACACAGGGTAGGTAGCTGCTACTCTAGCCGTGAAAACCGACAGGACATACCTGATGACCATGTGCCCAAACAGGGACAGACACGAGGACCATGAGCCACACGGTTAACAACCAATTGGCAGGAGGGTGATTAATGTGCAAGGACCACCTGGCTCCCTGGTTGTCTTGGCAGGAGTGTGCAAGGGTCACGTGGCCTCCGTGGTTGTCTTGGCAGCTTCATGACTTGTGGAGTGTGGAAGGGCCACGTGGCTTCTGTGGTTGTCTTGGCTGTGAGTGTAGAAGGGCCACGTGATCTCCACGGTTGCCTCGGTGGCCTTGTGGCTGTGCCAAGGACACATCTCCCCTATCAGTCAGGCTTCTCCAGAGCAGCAGAACTACTGGGCTGTGTGTATGTACAGAGAGGGATTAATGTGAGCAGTTGGTTCCCCTGAGGGTGGAGACGTGGCTGGCAGCCGGGAGACCAGCATGACGGTGCGAAGGAAGCCCAAGGCAGCCGGCTGAGGATCCAATCACTCTGGGAGGCAGAACTTTTAGTTCTATTTGGATTTTCAACTGATTGGATGAGGCCCACCCTCGTTATAGAAGGAAGTCCGCTTACTTAGAGTTTACTGATTGAAACATTAATCCCATCTAAAGACCCTCTAAGTGGACATCAAATTAATCCTCAACTCCCTAGGTATTTTATGTCCTCACATTCTGCTCATTGAGATTGGGACTGGACTGGCCATGGGCCTCTTTCCTCTGGGCCTGGATTTCCTGGGTCCCCACCAAAGATGCAGTGACATCAGGGAATGCAAAGCTTTATGTGAAGCTTTTCCCCACGACCCACGACAGGGCGACGGGTCTTCAGGAACGGACCGTGGGGAGGATGATAAAACAAACGCTTCCTACTCCTCCCTCCCTGACTCTCACCTGCTCCTCCAGTGGCCCGGGAGCAGCAAGCCCAGATGTCAATGTCACAGCAGCTCCTGAGGACTTGGGACGTGGCTGTTCATGTACACCAGCTGGACAGGCCCAGAGACCACCAGTGGCCAGCATGGCCACGGACAGCTCAGTGGCCGCTGCCCTGACTGTCCACAGCACTCTGAGTGCCATTTGAGGACCAGCCTGTCACTGGCTGTCCGTTCACATGATTCTGGATGCTGGTCCCTTGGTTGGGCCCTGGGTGGGCGTGGAACTTGGCCTAGCCTAGGAGAGGGCCACTTTGGGCCTTTAGTGACCTGAGTGTCAAAGGGCTGAGGAGAGAGGGTCATCACAAGGGGCTGGAGTCTGAGGAGTCAGTTACGCTGGGGAAGGTCAACTGCAGGTGCTGAGGGTATCATGGCCACACTTAGCAGCCCTGCCTGGGGGACATGGCCACGGAACCACTGTCCCTGGAAACTTCCTTTCAGCCAGGAGGTCAGGCACGCCTGCATCTTCACACCACCCGACGTCCGTGTTGTTCACACACACACACACACACACACACACACCCTCTTCTTGGGTTCAGCCAATCTGAACTGGGTAATGGTCACCAGGAATGGAGGGGGTTCTGATAACAGAGACCCAAATCCCACCCGGAACCCGGCCCAGCCTGGTTTGGGCTGACTCTTCTTGGCCCTGGTTCCTCGCCTTCTCCTCGACCTGCGTGGTCCCTCCCGGTCACACCACCTTTGGTTAAGGACTTTTATTACCCGTTGAAAACGGCCCTGAGCAAGAGGCAGGACAGAAGCCCCCGCAGGAGCCAGCACCTGGGGCTGCCCAGCTCTGAGCACCCCGAGGACCTGGAGTCCCTGGACTTGTGTTTCAGGGTGGACCTCCTTTTCTCGGTGTCAAAGGGCCGCCCCTCCACCTGGGTGACGTTCTTGATCCAGAGCTGGTAGTTGGCCAGCGAGGTGTATATTCCTGGGGTGTTCTTCTGCCCACAGCTCCTGCCCCAGCTGATGATGCCCACCTGGGACCACTTCTTGTTTCCTTCTGTCGTGCAGACCAGGGGCCCCCCACTGTCGCCCTGCAGGCAGAGAACAGAGTTCATGGCGGGTCCTGTTCTAAGCTGCCCACTGAGGCTGGGCTCAGCTTGGTCAAGGGAAGGGGCTTCACTGGCTCCCCGACTCCAGGCTGCCAAAGGAATCCCACCCATGCTCCCCTGGGGGCGCCCTGCGGTCAGCCAGCAGCTGTGGGGAGACGCATGCAGGGCCAGGCAGGGCAGAGCCAGGGAGGAGGACGCAGTGGTCAGTGAGAAGAGCGAGGAGCGCGCCTCTGCAGCCCAGAGAGGGGCGGGAAGGAGGCAGAGGGGGGAGGGAGGCCAGCGTTGAGGATTCTCAGATCAGAGGCTCTGGAGAGGGAGAATAGGAAGTGGGCGTGAGAGGCGTCGTCAGCGGGCACCATGAGTGGGTCTCCTCTGGTGTCCTCCAGAGCTGTGGGGAGGACGGCATTCTGTTGAACACTCTGGAGTGGGTGCTGGGGGGCACAGGAGCTAAGTCTCCCTGGATGCACTGCCCCCGCTGTGGGTCTGTGACTTGTGTGGTTGTGCCCACACATGATGCAGATGTGCCAGGTATCCACCAAGGACCTCATGTACACATGGCTTCCTCTCACCCCTTCTCCTGGAGGACCAGCCTCGAGGAGGAGAAAGCGCTTGCTGAGGGTCACCCGGCCAGAGCCGGAAGCCAGGGTCTCCTGATGCTAACACCCCCAGCTCCCCAGCTGGATCCTTCTGTCACACACTGCCGGTGGCCTTTCCTCAGTCCTGCGGGCTGGCTGGACAGTGCAGCATGGGGTGGACTCCGGGCAGGAGTCTCCTGCTGAGCTGTTCCTGTGGCCTGGCTCTGTGGCGGCCTCTCGTCAGCCCCACGGCCTCCTCTCGGTGAGCAGAGATTTTGATTCCCATTTTGTAAGTAGAAAGTTCGAGGGCCACGAGAGGGCTGACCTCTGCTGGACAAACCCTCACAGAGGAAACGCATCATGCCTGGTCTGGGGGTCCGAGACCTCCTGGCCTAGCAGAGAAGATGCACTTGTGGGCCCTCAGGAGACTCGTGTGGCGTGAGACAGAGGAGGGCGCACTCTGGCTCTGGGAGAACGAGGGCAGGACAACTGGGGAGATGTGACTCGAAGGGCACCCAGTGGCTTGACGGGCTGGGCCGGGTGGCTGGAGGGGCCTCAGGCAGAGGGCAGTAAGAGGAGGTGAAATATGAGGGTCCAAAGCAGGTCACGTGGGGGACGGGCAGGAGACACCACCAGGTGTCTGGCCCCAGATGGACACTGGACATAGGCTGGGAGGACTCATTCAGGGTCAGAGGCTGCAGGAGACAAAGTACAGGGGAAGGTCAGGAGTAAATGTGTCCCTGTGGAACTTGGTCTTGCTGCAGAAGCATCACTGGGCAGGGGACATGCAGCCCCTCACTGTGACTCCACAGAGTCGGGGGTCATGACTGCCTGAGGACAGCCAGCAACTTGGGCCCAAACCAAGTGGCCTTTTCCAGGACAGAGTGTCCCCCGGCACCTCCTCTTGCCCCGGTGCTGGCTGGTGAGTTACAGGGCAGAACCCGCTTGACAGCTTCTATTCCAATCGCTCGCTCCTTCTGCAAATGTTGTCTTACGTGATCTTCTTTGTTTTATGAAGGACACCCGTGGCAACAATGTCTTAGGAATGTTGCCTTGATTACTTATTTCCTTACACAACAGGGTGAGGGTGTCCCGGGCAGGAAACTTCCATGTCCATCATTCTGTTGGAACGGAGAGACGCCCGTCTGCTCTCTAGGACGGTGGCCCATGAACTGCAAAAACCTGTGAATCGTTGGGACGAGCCTGTGTAGCGGACGTTCCAGAAATGGGTTAGCACCGTTGCTCTGTGTGTGGCCCACCAGCTGCCTTCAGGGAACAGTTGTCCCTTCCTGGTGGCTGGGCCCAGGGGCGTCCGTAAGTGGACGTCCTTCTATGTTGGTTTTTTCTCTTCCTCTTGGGAAGCAAGCAGCACCAGAGGAGCCACCGAGAGGGGCCTTCCTGCAAGGGCTCAGCCTGTAGCCGGGGTCTCTGCTGAGAAACGCTGGCTGAGAGCTTCCCGAGTTTGCCACCAGGAGATGAAGGACACCACTGCTGTCCTGTTTGGCGCAGAAGCAGGTGACCGGGCTGCAGGCCTGGCCTCTTCACTGATGTCGGACTTTGGGAAAACCGCTTAGATTCTGAATCCCTGTTCTTTCACCTTCCAGCCCACCTCACAGAGCCACAGGGAAGACACAATCGCTGATAAGGTGCCGAAGAGCTTCAAAGTGACCGCAGGTCTGTCCAGGTGGTCAAGGGAGTCATGAGTGATCACGATAACCACGTTTTCTCTTCTGTAAAACGGCCTTCTGGTTGAATGTGTTCAGACTCCTTCTCGGCTCTAAAGGCCCGTGGTTCTGAGGGCCTGTGCGTTTTTCTGCAGAGTGAGAGATGAAGTGGGACGCAGCCTAGAACGCAGCCCAGCTCTAAACCAGGGTCCACGGCAGCCCCTCAGCCAGACTGGCCCACGTCCAGCGCTGCCCGCTCGGACCCCTCCTCCACCGGCAGACTCCAGGGCCCTTTGGGGTTCCCCCCAGGGGACCTCTCCTCGGGGGTGACGTTACTGTCGGTTCTGACAGCCGACAGCACCCAGCTTGCAGCTGGGCCTATCTGACAAACATTTCTTAGGCATTTGTCATGGGCAGAGCACAGGGCGCGGCCCTGGGAATTCACCCCTGAATAGACAGGTGTCTGCCCGGCCGGGAGCAGGCAGGAGCCCAGAGATGGGCTCACCAGGATGGCTGCTCCCCAGGAGACGCCACCAACGCTTCATCTTCTTAGCTGGGGATAAGTTCCAGTTTATATTTTGCTTGATTGTGCCACTTTAAAATTATTTTTAAAAGTTGGGCGTTTTGAGATAATTGAAGACTTTATTGTAAGAAGTAATGCAGAGATTTCCCAACCCCTCAGTTTCCCCAGTACTATCTGGCAAAACGGTAGAGCCTGATGGGTACTGCAGAAGCATCACTGGGCAGGGGACATGCAGCCCCTCAAGAGGCAGGACTTCTCTGTGCTGAGGAGGCTTCTGCTGCCCTCGGTAGCCGCGCCCACTGCCCCCTTCCACAGACAGCCCCGCCTTGCAGCCACCAGCACTGGCTTTCCGCTGGACTTAGTGGGCAGGATCGAAGGAGGTTACTTGCTCCACTGTATCTGGGTCCAGGTCCTTTGTCCTGTTAGGTTTGGTGATCGTGTACATCATCCAGGACCGGAAAGGAACAGGGCGCGCTAGGTGTTCGGTCTGGCTGTCCCTTTGGTCCTCTGCTGGTGGAGTCTCGTCTGCCTGGCACGCTGCTGGCCTCCACCTCTGCTGAGCTCAGAGGCCTCGCTCCTTCCTCTTCTGCCTGCCCAAACCCTGACCCAGCAGGCCCTTCCCAAGGTGCCATCTCGTGGTCTACCTGGGGAAACTACCAGTCTCCTCTGTTATCAAGAAACACTAGAGAAGACTGTGGGTAAACACAGGCCCCTTCCACGGTCGGGCTGTCTGTCCTTCACTGCTTGGAGGGGTTACATCTGCACCTGGAGACTTGCACCCAGACCAAAGCCAGCACCCGGCTTGCAGGTGGGCCTTAATGGGCTCATCAGAGGGAGCCCCCCAGGACAAATAGAGGGTCTTTGAGCTTTAAACACAACTCCTGTCACTCCTTGGAGCCAGAGGGAGCCATGCTCTGAATGTTTTGTTTTTGTTTTCCATTTTTCATTATCCTCAACATCAACATCAATCAAATGTGTTTTTCTTTTAAAAGTTTCATGTCTGTTTTATTAAAGAGAACCTAAGAGATCAGACTTTGGTTCACGGTAAAGAAACCTGCATCACCCACTCTATTATTTCTTGCTTATTGACCCAACTGTCTGCCCAAGAGGCTAGGGGCAGGGACCACACCTCATTCCAGCCACCAGGGGCTGGCGTGCTCGATAGAGGTTGCTAAATGATGAATGATGATGACTCCTGGTATGGGCCTCAAATTCTCCTTGACTTTGTCTTTTTAGGAATTTCTACAAGTGGAAGCCTTGGGGTCCCATGTACCTAGCGTCCACTCCATGTCTGCACTCGCACAGCCAAAGGCCCTGACCCCCACGATTTCCCAGACCCTCAGTTGCCTCTTCCCAGCAGAGAGAGGGTACCCTTGCATGGCAGCCCCCCCGGGGTGGGGGCCTGTAAGTGGAGGAGGCAGGGCCTCTGTTACCTGGCAAGCATCGTAGCTCTCGTTCATGAATCCTGCGCACAGCATATTTTTGGTAAGTTTTGTAAACGTTTTTGCACATTCATTCCAATCTATGATGACCATCGGCACTTTCAACAGATCGGTTTTCATAGACCCTTTGTCAGCTGTCCAGGGAGAGAGCATGTTAGAAAAGTCACCAGGCAGTAGACATTGCAACGGCGGTGCCCTAGAGACCGCCAGCCCCACCCACCATCCCGCATGCTGCTCATGCCCTGGCCATCCACCTTCTTCAGGTCATCTGTGCCCAAAGGGTATCCTGCCCAAGCTCTCCCAAGAGACCACCACCTGCTGGGATCATTCATTTGATGGCCAAACTTCGAGCCCTGCTCCAGCCAGCCCGTGAGCTCGACATCTGGGGACGGGCCAGTGGACAGCCCAGCATGGTCCTGCCTCCTCCGCTTGCTGCCCTGTTACCAGTTTGTCACGTGGGCACAGCGCTTCCCTCCCACAGGGCCACAGACAGCAATTTGCACCCCATAAAGAATCACTAGGCCCCAGGCGTGGAGAGGGCGATAAGTCTTCAGAGGGTTTACAGGGCGCTTGAGCCCCGGGCCTCCAGGTCTCCTGGGCTCCTTCTCCTTCACGCTGACCACACATGCATCTCATGATTCCTCCCCTCATCCTCATGCCCATCAGTTCCTGCCCTCCTCCTGCCTCCCCGTGGGGCCCTGGCCTGAGCAGCTCTCTAGGACGCCAGGCAGTCACACACCTGAAGTGGTCTGGCCCCACCCTGCCACCCAGCACTTGTGCCACTTGGAAGGCATGGGCTCTGGGGGCATGCAGATGGGCACTATCAGGCTATTGAACTCGATGGGCGAGGCCACCATCAGCAAGGCGATGTCGTTGTCCATGCTTTGTCTCTTAAATTTATTGTGATAAACTATGCTGCTGACCGGCTTTATTTCCAGACGTGGGCTGGTCAAGTCGTTGGTCCCCAGCACGACACTCAGATCCTCTGTGCTGGTGACATAGAACCAGAGAGGGGAGGGGAGGAGGGGTCACAAAAGCACACAGAGCTCACTGTGCCCCAAATACCAGTCCTCATAGAGTTTGGGGGGCCTTTAAGATGGTCCTTTTGTTGCTCAGAAAGTTTGAGGATTTAGAAACTAAAGAGAGGACAGAACCATCAGAGAACAGACCCCAGTCCTCAGGGGTCCTGAGGTTGAATGTGACCCTTACATGCAACAGAGCAGAGGCAGGGCTCAGTTTGGAGCACTCTAAAGAGCCCACAAAGGACTAGTTGGCCCAGACCAAGCCAGTCTTCAGATAGGTAAGGCCTGGTGACATGTGCCAATGATTGCACATTCTGCTCACGGCAGTGGTTCCAACAACCATTTAGAGACTTAGGAGCTGAGTTTAATTTGACCTTCCACTGGCCGAGCAGAAAGACCCCGAGTAATCAGACAGCAGGCAGGGCCCCTCCAGGCAGATGGGCAAGAACTTTCTGGTAGCCAGCTCTGAAGTGCCCCCCAAGAGCAGGTGCTGCAGTGTACTCGGCTTTGCACGCGGTTTCACGGGGTTTACCCAGATCTGTCAGCCTTTCTGGGTACCTTCCAAAGCTCTTGAGGTGGTGAAGCAGGGTGCCCAAGTGCCGGAGCATTCAGGACTGCCTTCCACTGTGAGCTGTGGTCCCTGGCGGGGTCACATAGCTTTATTGGACCTCAGTTTCCTTATCTATAAAATAGAGTAATTTATTCTGCCTGCCTCAGAGGGTCATTGTACAGGTAAGTAATTTAACACAGGTAAAATCTTAATGGGGTCCCTGGAGCATGGTTCATGATCAGGAAATGCCAGCAGTCAACCGTCAGCTGAGCAGAGAGCACCCTACAAGGAGCAGGAAGGACGCACTCAGGTGGCCAGAGACCAGACGTCCAGGATTTCCAAGAAGCACTTGGATGTCCTAGGACAGGTGGATGGACTGAGTGCTCCACCTCCATAGGCCACAGGTGTGCCTGGAAAGGACAGCGTGTGACTTTGCTGCACAGAGCCATGGGCCCTGGCACAGCTTGGGGTCCACTGTGCAGTGCCCACAGGCTGGAGGGCGGACATTCATGTCTGCATCAGGATACAACGGTGCCAGGACCCCTTCACCATCAGGTCTGGCCACGCGTGTGGCTGTCCGCGGCTGGCCCTGGGTACTTACGGTAACTCGCCAATTACGCAGTGAGCAGCTGTGAGGATCCACCAAGAGTTGAGGATGGTGCCGCCACAGAAATGTTGATTTGTTGCCTGGATACTCACCTGCCACGGAAACTCACCCACCTCAGCCTCCAGCCCCCCGACGATTCTGGAATACCGCATCTTCTGGTCCTCGAAAGTGGGCCTCTCGCCACATCCTGCTGGGATGGAAGAGAGCAGGAGGGAAACATAAAACACCTGTCACCTCCACATGGGCCCGGTTGCTGGGTGAGATGCTCGCAGACAGATCTCCCTGGCCCTGTCCTGGAGATGAGGACACTGGGCCGGCCCTGGAGGCTCCGGTGTGACAGGAGCAAACTGACAGGTTCCTTTTCGTTGAGCAGAGCTCAGGATGTGGTCCAGAACATTGGCTCTGACTCTGCCAGCTCTGGGGTGTCAGGCAACCACGTCTTCCCAGAGAAATTGGAGGAAATAATGTCCAAAGTCAACCCCACAGGACCCCTTCAAAGATACCCCAGTCCTCCAGGGCCGCAATCTGGGACCTGCAAATATTTTCCCTTACAAGGCAACAGGGAATTTGGAGATGGAATTGATCAGCTGACCCCAGCATCCCTCACTGAATGGACCCAGTGCAATCACAGGACCCTTAAGAGTGTTGGGGAGCTGGGGCAGTGGAGCAGGCACTTGGGAGGCTGAGACAGGGGGATTGCAAGTTCCAGACCAGCCTGGGCAACTTAGCAAGAAGTTGTCTCAAAATAAAGAGGCTGGGCGCAGCTCTGGGGTGAAGTGCTTGCTTAGCATGCATGAGGCCCTGGGTTTAACCCCCAGCACCACCAAAGAGAAATGGTAGGAGGAAGGCAGAAGGGAGTCCATGCTGGGTGGAGGTGAGTACAGGAAGGCCCCGGGAGATCAAGCCTGAGGCTCCAAAGATGGACACAGGGGCCCCAGACCAGCTCCAGGAGCCCCGGAAGGGGACGCTGAGGATCCAAGGCTGGTGTGTCTGCAGGAATACCGTCCTGCCTTGGAAATAGCCCTGGAGGCTGAGCTGACTTCTGCCCTACAGGATGGCAAGGTGAGGAATTGCTGTTTAAGCCACTCAGTTTGTGGCTGCTACTCATAGCAATGCTGGGAAAGGAAAAGATGTTTCCAGAACAAGGTGGGAGGGTTGATGTTAGAAAGCCCAAGACCCCCTTGACCCTGTCTTTATTCTAATTGTCCAGTCATTGGCTCAACGGTGGCTTTCAGGATGTCATAGTCTGGTTTGGAATGAGGAAGTCATGGTCATTTTTGGTTCAAAAAAATGGGGAATTTAGCAACATTGTATCAAGAAGCTCCAGCTGTCAATAATCCATGAATGTCTGTTCAGGACTTTTGGACCTGCACTTCCTATATCTGACTTATCAGACACACTATGGTGCTTAGATGTGTGTCCGATGCTGTTTCAAACACCTTACAAAGACCAATTCACTGTGACTTTTACAACCACCCTACGAAGTAGGTACTGTTATTTCCATCCCCATTTTATAGTTAGGACAAATGAGGCACAGAAAGGTTAAGTATTTGCCCAAGGGCACACAGCTAGTCCATGGCCCCACCAGGATTTGAAGCTGGGCATCTGGCGTTGGAGTTGACCTCCTACCACTCCCAGAGCTGCTGTCTGCCTGTAAGGTTCTCTTCACGGGTGCCTGGCTCACTCCCTCACCTCGTCCCCGCCTTGGCCTGAGAGTTGCTCCTTTAAGGAGGCCAAGCCAACCCCTCCATCCTGGCTACTCTGTCTCCTGCCCAGCATTACATTTCTTCATGTACCATCATGGCGTTGGGTCACTGGGGTCCCCTGGCCTGACTGATGCTAGAGCTTAAGCTCTGCCTTGGTGACGCTGGTCCCAGGGCAGGAAGAGGATGTCCCAACGATGAGGGAGCCTTGGCTCCAGGAGCCCTCATGGACACTCACCCCCGGGGCCAGGCCATCCGTGTTGGACGATATGCACTGACCTAACAGTAACAAACTGAAAGCGACCCGTGTTAGGTGGACAACACGCATGTTCACCCGTGTCGTCCGCGACTCCTCGGCTGGAAAGTCGGGCTCGTGGGGGATTTTAATGATATGGGGAAAGGCTTGGGATAAACAGTTGAATAGAAAAGTCAGGGTCGAAATCATATTTAGAACTTGTGATTTTACCGTATTAAAAATCTGGACATCCACACGTGGGAGTAACCACAGTCAGGATCCCTGAGTGGGGTGAACTCGAGAGCCCATGGGTGACTGCAGGGGGCTCCTCTTTCTGAGACGCGGCTGCGGCACCTGCTGAGAGCGTGGCCCTGGGGCAGACCCCTGAGTCTGACCCTGGCCCTGTCACTCATACATGATCTGAGGGAAGCAGCCGTCCCTTCTTATCCCCTCTCCACTCCTGAAATGGGCATGAGACTCTCTCCACCTACGAGATGGACACTCAGATGGAGCCAGGTTGATGAAGCCCCCACAGGGGCTGGAGCAGAGGGAGGGGTCCTTGAGCCATCTTAGCTGTCAGAATTTCTCCTCTCTTTGCACCCAGTCCCCAGGGACTGGCAGCTGGGCCCATTCTTCACTCTCTTGGTCCTGAGAACAGCAGCACCAGGGTCCAACCGTCCAACCCAAGTTCTTTGGGTTAAAGCAAAGCACCAAAGCCGGGTGGCAGTGAAGGCAGCAGAGATGGGGAGCAGGGCTGGGAATGAGCATGCACTTGGGGTGTTCTTCGGAGGATCTGCCCACACCCCCTCTCCCCCACGCTCCTCCCTGCACCCACCTCAGGACGGCTGGCAGGAGGCCAGGTGTGCAAGAGCTAGTGGGCAGAGGGAGGGAGGGAGGGACTGGCACAGCAGGCTGGCTGCTGCCATCAGCCCTACCAAGTTCCTGCAGAGTGACTTTGGGCAGGTCCTGGACCTTGAGGCTTGCTCCCACCCACACTTAGGCGAAGAGCAGAAACTCCCCCACGGTGGGCAGCTTCCACCTAGTACTTGGCCTAGAGCTGCTGCTGCTAAGTAACCCAGTTTCCTTCCAGCCCTGGCCACGTCTCAGAGGGGGGAGCCACCCTCTGGAGCCGTGAGGAGCACACTGAGACCAGAAGCAGCCTTAGCTTGACGTGCTGAGTCCCTCTTCCATTCTGCTGGCAGGTCCCCGGAAGCTCCTCACCCTGAGTCTGAAACTGAGGCTCAGTTACTTTCGGGCACATGCTTCTGGGCTCTCCATGATGCTTTCTGGGGTAAAGTCTTGGGTTTCAAAACCAAAGCTAAAGGTCAGATTGTCAAACTCTGGGCTGGGGAACAGGAAGAAAGACAAGTGGCCCCAAGGAGGGTGACTGGGAGCACATCAAGTCACCCTCTTGGGCTCTCCTGGAAGGGCCTCCCTGACCAGTTGGCTGATTACAAGCCCATGTCCGGCTCTTTCCTGCCCCTAATGCTCAGTGGGACTGAATGAGGAGGTGAGGAGGGCACTTGTCCCCCCCCCCCCAGTGCCCACTGGGTCTGTTGCTCTGGCCCCAGGGAGGAGCCCACATACCTGGGTCCGCCCCCGTGGCGTGGGTGATGAGCAGCACAACTGAGAAGAGAAGCATGGGCCTGGGCTGGGCTGTGGGCTGGGAGGTGGAGGAGGCCAGGGCGGAGGGCGGTGGTGCTGGCCGTGGAGGAACCAGCCCTGCTGGCGACGTCACAATGGGCTGAGGCTGAGGTCAGGAGGCTTCTTGCTACCTGTTTGGGTTCTAAAATGGTTCACAGAGGGCTCTCTGGTCTGAGCCTCCCTCCCAGCCCGCTAGGCTCCCTGCTGACCTGGCGTCCTACCTCCCCCCAGCCCACCCTGGGCACTTTGGGCCGTCACGCCCAATCCTTCTTTAAGGCTCCCAGGTCCCTCCACGAGTCTGTCAGGGGGCCCCTGGTGGAGGCCAGGTAAGCCCTGCCGGCTGGGCCTCTCCAGCACGAGGCCCGCGGGGTCCAGTGACCCTCTTCCTTCCTGCTCAGGACTCTGGCCAGCGCCCAGGCTGGGCCTCATGCTGGTGCAGGGTGCCCCATCTCCTCCAGACCCGCCCAGAGGGCAACACCCCCTGCCCCCAGCACTTTGTGGTTTATTCCACAGGAAGCTGAAGCAGAGTGTGACCAGGGTGGAGTGCCACGGGGTTTGGACCCAGTGACTGCAGGACTGTTACCCCAGAGTGATCAGAGGAGCCTCTGTCCAGCCGGACCTCAGAGGAGCCAGGAGTCAAGTGAAGAGGGAAATGGCACTCCGTGGCTTGGTCTTCCTAGGAGTTACTTAATTGCTGGTCTCTGTGAGAGTGTTGTTTCCGCACTGGCTTAAACTGTAACATTTCTATGCTATAATTCACACCCTGGGGCGTGTAAGCTCCTGTGACCTCGAGAAACACCTCCCTGTGACAAAGGCCACTTCCCAACATCCCTTGCAGATTCTCCTCTGCCTTTGTTCTGCTTCAATAAATAAGAATTTCTGCTCATGGTCTGTGGTCATGTGGCCCAAGAATTGAACCTGCCAATACTGTCCTAGGCAAGGAATGACACCAGATTTCCTCTGAAAGCCCCATGTGACCTCAGCTCCGGGCCCAGAACTTCAGAACCCACTACTGGCTCATCTGGATCCAGTGGCACCATAAACCTGAGTTCTCCAACCCTCCGAGTGGTGCTGGGTCTCTTGCTGAGCACGATTTCCACAACACAAGCCGACCTGGGCAGGACAAACTATCTTACTGGGTGGCAAAGGTCAGCAGGAGATGACCAAGCCGGGTTGGTGCGATGCCCAACCGCTGTCTCCCCCGCCCCCCCCGCCCTGCCACCACCTGGGAAGAGTCTGACTTGCAGCTAGCGGTTTGCTGAGTAGCACTGTGGCAGCCTGTGGAGCTGTGCCCCACCCAACACAGCCTAGTGTCACTGTCTCAGGGGCAGATGCCGGGTCTCACTCTGAGCTGGGGACTGGACGCAAATCTCTTCCAACAGAACAGGCTGGGCAGAGCCGACAAGAGGAAAAGCCCTTGCCCTCGCCTTAGTCTAGTGGAAGAGACAGAAAATGAATCAGTTCTGAGGACACAGATGGGCTGGGCAGGCCAGGCGCCGTGGAGCAGGGGCCACGGGGACAAGAGGTTGGGCAGGCGGGAGGCGGCGAGAGGTGAGGAGGGACCCGCAGAGAGACCTGACTGGAGGGTCCCGGGGGCTGGCGCGCTCTTGCTCTTGTATTTCTTTGTCACACCCTCTGCCAGCTCTCTGGCCAGCTTCCTGCTGCGGGGGCCGAATTCTCCCTTGGCCTCTGGGCCTCTCCTCCATCTCGTGTCCTCAGAGACAGATGACTGTCCAGTTCATGCTGCTCTGTCCAGTGTCTTCTCACTGTCCTGCACAGCCGTCGGCCACCTCTGTCCCGGCCTCTCCCTTCTCTCCCCATCCCACTGTTTCCGACCTCGGGCCAACAGCGTCTCTTTTTAGCTGTATCACTAGAGGCACTAGAGCCAGGTTATCACCACACGATATTCTCCTTTCTCATTTTGCCCTCCCTAACACAGTCCTCATGTTAAGCCCAATCTTTTAATGCCAGCTCTACCAAACAACCCCCTTGAATTCTCTCCCTTTCCCTCCACTGAACCTCAGATGAGGCTGAGATCTCCTAACAAGGTGTATTGGCATTTGACACCTGGTTTCAGAGAATATAAAAACTTGTCCAAAGACCCAAAGCTCTTTAATATCACAGCACAGAGCAGAACCAATGGCTCCTTAAGTTGATCAGAATCGGGGGGCGGGGGGGCGGCGAGAGATCGGAGCACGCAGATGAATTTGGCCTCACCTGGCTCTCCTCCAGCCCCTGCTGGGGAGGGAGCACTGGACAGGGGAGCATGGGGCTGGGCTGAGCCCAACTGACCCGCACCCGAACCTGCTGCCTCCACCCTAGCCCAGTGTTGACTGTGAGGTCACCAGGGTCAGCTCTGCCATGCATTTGTGATGCCCACTTGCAGCTGCCACCGCTGACTAGGTATCAGCCTGGCCTGGAGGTGAAGTTGGATAGTTCTGGACTGGAATGACAAGAAGATGCTCCAGCTTCTAACAGCACTGCTCATGGCACTCAAGGGACATGCCCAGGACGAGTCAGGTGGGTGCCAGGCTTGCCCCAAGTAGAGGGGGTGGGAAGGCTCCTCCTCCTCCCTGAGCCCGAGGGCACTGAGCCCCAGCCTGCTGCTGAGGAAACAAGGAGACTGTACTGACCGATCACAACGTTGTAGCCAGCTGGACGAAGACACCGCCTACTGTCACCCCCAGGCACCCGGCCCAGGGTACAGAAGCGCAGGGGAGGGGAGCAAGAATCCAGCATCTGGCTGGGTGACTCAGAGCTCTGTCTTGAGCACTAGGACACTTCAGGATCCTTAGGGGCTTACACCCTAGGAGGAGGGGACATGGAATAGGGCCATATTTAATTTAGAACACCTGTATTAAGCAGTCTCATTAAATGGGGGCCTTAGAAGGCCATCATGGGTTAATTTAGTTCGTGAGTTAAAGAAGTTTGTTCTGTCCCTCAGGCCTGTGTCAAACTCTGTAGGAAAAAGTTCTATGGTTAGATAAGATTTGGAACCGTTCCATTCCACGTTCTTCCTGTAGAACCCAGTGGCTCTCCACATACTAATGGTTCTGACACGCCTTAGGGTGTTCAGCTGGCTTCATTTTATTTAATCTGGCGTTTCTGAGATGTATCTGACCATAGACCCCCCTCCCCTGTAGGCCCTCTGCAGCCTGAAGACCATTCCCTGGCTTATTTCTAACATTTTCTACTTTTTCTTTAGAAATTCGCCTGTCCCTTAGTGCTTTGTGATTCTCGTATTCAGGGGAGTTTCTAAAGCTGATTTGCAGGACCGTATTGAGCCGTAGTGACATTAACCCTTTGTCTCTTACATGTGTCATGAACTCGTTCCTCCTAACTCTTCAGTGCTCTTCCAACTTATTTTGGACCGAACAGAAATTTAAGTTTATGAAAACTTTATTGATATTTTTCACTACAGTTCTTGGGTTTTATTTGATGCATCAGAAGGGATTTTGGTCCCAAACTCACAAGTGCAATCAGCACTCTGGGCTCTGCGGTCAGACTGGGCTCTACCCACTGGGGCAACTGGCTTACTGGCTCTGTGGTCCTGTTTCCCCACCTGTAAAGTGGGCACGTGAGGGTCCCTGTGGGGAGAGAATCTGCAGAAAGCTCTGAGAGCAGGCCTGGCTCTGTCAGGGCTCAAAACCCTTAGCTCTTATCCCAGAGTTCAGTGACTTCACTTCTTTTTTTTTTTAAATATTTTTTATTCTAATGTGTTATATATGACAGCAGAATGCATTATAATTCATATTACACATACAGAGCACAATTTTCATATCTCTGGGTGTATATGAAGTATATTCACACCATTTGTTCTTCATACAAGTTCTTAGGGTAATGATGTCCATCTTATTCCACCATCTTTTTTACCCCCATGCCCCCTCCCTTCCCCTCCCACCCCTCTGCCCTCTCTAGAGTTCGTCTATTCCTCCCATGCTCCCCCTCCCTACCCCACTATGAATCAGCCTCCTTATATCAGAGAACACATTCCGCATTTGGTTTTTGAGATTTGCTAACTTAGCATTATCTTCTCTAACTCCACCCATTTACCTGCAAAAGCCATGATTTTATTCTCTTTTATTGCTGAGTCAAATTCCATTGTGTATAAATGCCACATTTTCTTTATCCATTCATCTACTGAAGGGCGTCTAGGTTGGTTCCACAGTTTAGTTATTGTGAATTGTGCTGCTATAAACATTGATGTGGCTGTGTCCCTATAGTATGCTGTTTTTAAGTCCTTTAGGTATAAACAGAGGAGAGGGATAGCTGTGTCAAATGGTGCTTCCATTCCCAGATTTCCAAGGAATCTCCATACTGCTTTCCATATTGGCTGCACCAATTTGCAGCCCCACCAGCAGTATGTAAGTGTGCCTTTTCCCCATATCCTCGCCAACACTTATTGTTGTTTGTGTTCTTAATAGCTGCCATTCTATGGGGGCTGGGGATATAGCTCAGTTGGTAGAGTGCCTGCCTCACATGCACAAAGTCCTGGGTTCAATCCCCAGCACTGCCCCACCCACTCCTGCCCCAAATAGCTGCCATTCTGACTGGAGTGAGATGCAATCATATAGTAGTTTTGATTTGCATTTCTCTAATTGCTAGAGATCTTGAACATTTTTTCATATATTTGTTGATCGATTGTGTCATATTCTGAGAGGTATCTGTTCAGTTCCTTGGCCCATTTATTTATTGGGCTATTTGTTTTTTTGCTGTTTAGCTTTTTGAGTTCTTTATATACCCTAGAGATTAGTGCTCTATCTGATGTTAGAGTGGTAAAAATTTGCTCCCAAGATGTAGGCTTTCTATTCACCTCACTGATTGTTTCTTTTGCTGGGAAGAAGCTTTTTAGTTTGAATCCATCCCATTAATTGATTTTTGATTTTAATTCTTGTGCTATAGGAGTCTTAAGTAAATTGGGGCCTAATCTGACATAATGGAGATTAGGTCCTACTTTTTCTTCTATTAGACGCAGAGTCTCCGGTTTAATTCCTAGGTCCTTGATCCACTTTGAGTTGAGTTTTGTGCATGGTGAGAGACAGGGGTTTAATTTCATTTTGTTGCATATGGATTTCCAATTTTTCCAGCACCATTTGTTATATATCTAATATATGATAACTGTAATTATGTGGATTTGTCTCTGTGTCCTCTATTCTGTACCAATGGTCTTACTAGTCTGTTTTGGTGCCAACACCATTCTGTTTTTGTTACTGTTGCTCTGTAGTATAGTTTAAGGTCTGGTATACGATGCCACCTGCTTCACTCTTCCTGCTTAGGATTGCTTTAGCTATTGTGGGTCTCTTATTTTTCCAGATGAATTTCATGACTGCTTTTTCTATTTCTATGAGGAATATCATTAGTAATTTGATTGGAATTGCATTAAATCTGTACAGTGCTTTTGCTAGTATGGTCATTTTGACAATATTAATTATTAATTCTGCCTATCCAAGAACAAGGGAGATCTTTCCATTTTCTAAGGTCTTCTTTAATTTCTTTCTTTAGTGTTCTCTAGTTTTCGTTGTAGAGGTCTTTCACCTTTTTTGTTAGGTTAATTCCAAAGTATTTTATTATTTTTTTGAGGGTATTGTGGATGGGGGTGGTTTTCCTAGTTTCTGAGGATTTGTCTCTGATGTACAAAAATGCCTTTGATTTATGGGTGTTGATTTGGTATCCTGCTACTTTGCTGAATTCATTTACTAGTTCTAGAAGTTTTCTGGTGGAATTTTTTTTTTGGGGGGGTCTTCTAGGCATAGAATCATAGCATTGGCAAATAGTGCTAATTTGAGTTCTTCTTTTCCTATCCATATCCCTTTAATTTATTTTGTCTGTCTAATTGCTCTGGCCAGTGTTTCAAGAACTATGTTAAATAGAAATGGTGAAAGAGGGCATTCCTTCAGCTCTGATTTTAATTATTCCTGTCCTCTGCTTTTGGTGTTGATTTATTTTTCTTTTTCTAGGGCTTTAAGATGTAATGTTTCTAGAGGGAATGCTTTCAATTTTTCTTCATTTAGAATGATCTTGGCCTGGGGCTTAGCATAGATAGCTTTTATGATGCTGAGATATGTTCCTGTTATCCCTAGTTTTTCTAGTGTTTTGAACATGTATGGATGCTGTATTTTGTCAAATGCTTTTCCTGCATTAATTGAGACGATCATATGATTCTTTTCTTTAAATCTATTGATGTAGTGAATTACATTTATTGATTTCTGTATGTTAAACCAATCTTGCATCCCTGGGATGGACCCCACTTGATTGTGGTGCACTATCTTTTTTGGTATGTTTTTTTGTATTCAATTTGCCAGAATTTTATTGAGAATTTTTGCATCTATTTTCATTAGAGATATTGGTCTGAAGTTTTCTTTCTTTAATGTGTCTTTGCCTGGTTTTGGAATCAAGGTGATATTGGCCTCATACAATGAGTTTGGAAGTGCTCTCTCTTTTTCTATATCACAAAATAATTTGTAGAGTATTGGTATTAGTTCTTCTTTATAGGTCTTGTAGAACTCAGCTGTGTATCCATCTGGTGCTGGGCTTTTCTTTGTCAGTAGGTTTCTATTTTCTTGCTTGAAATTGATCTGTTGAAATTGTATGTATCATCCTGATTCAATTTGGCCAACTCATATGCCTCTAGAAATTTGTTGATGCCTTCAATATTCTCTATTTTATTAGAGTAAAAGTTTTCAAAATAATTTCTAATTGTCTTTTGTATTTCTGTAGTGTCTGTTGTGATATTTCCTTTTTCATCACGGATGTTAGTTATTTGAGTTTTCTCTCTCCTCTTTGTTAGGATGGCTAAAGGTTTGTCAATTTTATTTAATTTTTTTGAAGAACCAACTTTTTGTTTTGTCAACTTTTTTCAAATGTTTCTTTTGTTTAAATTTCATTGATTTCAGCTCTGATTTTAATTATTTCCTGTCTTCTACTGCTTTTGGTGTTCATTTGTTCTTCTTTGTCCAGGGCTTTGAGATGTAATGTTAGGTCATTTATTTGTTGACTTTTTCTTCTTTGAAGAAATGAACTCCATGCAATGAACTTTCCTCTCGGTACTGTCTTCATAGTGTTCCAGAGATTCTGATATGTTATATTAGTGTTCTCATTTTAACTCTATTTTTTAATCTCTTCCTTGATGTCTTTTACACCCCATTGTTCATTCAGTAGCATACTATTTAGTCTCCAGGTGTAGGAGTAGTTTTTATTTTTTATTTTATCATTGATTCTAATTTCATTCCATTGTTTTCTGATATAATGCTGGGTAGTATCTCTACTTTTTTGTATTTGTTAAGAATTGCTTTGTGGCATAATATGTGGTCTACTTTAGAGAAGGCTCCATGAGCTGCTGAGAAGAAAGTGTGTTCACTTGTTGAAGGATGAAATATTCTATATATATCAGTTAAGTCTAAGTTATTGATTGAATTATTGAGTTCTATAAGTTTTTTTGTTCAGCTTTTGTTTGGAAGATCTATCCAGTGGTGAAAGAGGTGTGTTAAAGTCACCCAGAATTATTGTGTTGTGGTCTATTTGACTCTTGAACTTGAGAAGAGTTTGTTTGATGAACACAGATGCTCCATTGTTTGGGGGAGAGATATATATATATATCTTAACAAATATATATATATATATAAATATGTTAAGTCTTGTTGGTGTATGGTTCGCTTGAGCAGTATGAAATGTCCTTCTTTGTCCTTTTTGATTAACTTTAGCTTAAAGTCTACTTTATTTGATACGAGGACGGAAACCCTGCTTGCTTCTGCAGTCCATGGGAGTGGTATGATTTTTCCCAACCTTTCACCTTTAGTCTGTGTGTGTCTTTTCCTATGAAATGAGTCTCTTGGAGACAGCATATTGTTTGTTTGTTTGTTTTTTAATCCAATCAGCTAGCCTATGCCTTTTGATTGGTGAGTTTAGGCCATTAACATTCAGGGTTATTATTGAGACATGATTTGTATTCCCAGAAATTTTAGTTATTTAATTTGACTTGGTTTCTCCTTTGATTAGCTTTTCCTTTAGTGTAATACCTCCTTCTGCTGATTTTCATTGTTGATTTTCATTTCCTCTTCAAAGGATATTTTGCCAAGGATATTCTGTAGTGCAGGTTTTCTAGCTGTAAATTCTTTTAACTTTTGTGTATCATGGAAGGTTTTTATTTCATCATCAAATCTAAAGCTTAATTTGGCTAGATACACAGTATTCTTGGTTGGCATCCATTTTCTTTCAGAGTTTGATATATGCTGTTCCAAGATCTTGTAGCTTTCAGGGTCCAGGTTGAAAAAATCTGCACACGACCTAATTGGTTTCCCACTATATGTGATCTAATTCCTTTCTCTTGTGGCTTTTAATATTCTCTCCTTATTCTGTATGTTAGGCATTTTCATTATTGTGCCTTGGTGTGAATCTGTTGTGATTTTGAACACTTGGTGTCCTGTAAGGCTCTTGAATTTGGTTTTCCAATTTGTTTTTCATGTTTGGAAAATTTTCTGATATTATTTCATTGTTCATTCCTTTGGTTTGGAACTCTATTCCCTACTCTATCCCAATAACTCTTAAATTTGGTCTTTTTATGCTATCCCATATTTCTTGAATGTTCTGCTTATGTTTTCTTACCATTTTCACTGTGTTATCTACATTATTTTCAAGATTATATACTTTGCCCGTCTACAGTGCCAGAGCACTGTGTGGGGGTGTTGTCTGTGTGGGGGTATTGTCTGTGTGGGGGGTGTTGTCTATGTGTGTGGGGTATTGTCTATGGGGGGTGTTGTCTGTGTGTAGGGGTGTTGTCTGTGTGGGGGTGTTGTCTGTATGTGGGGGATATTGTCTGTGTGTGGGGGTGTTGTGTGTGGAGGGATATTGTCTGTATGTGTGGGTGTTGTCTGTGTGTGGGAGTTGTCTGTGTGTGGGGGTGTTGTCTGTGTGGGGGTATTGTATTGTGGGGTGTTGTCTATGTGTGGGGGTGTTGTCTGTGGGGGGGTGTTGTCTGTGTGGGGGGTGCTGTCTGTGTGGGGATGTTGTCTGTGTGGGGGGTGTTGTCTGTGTAGGGGTGTTGTATTGTGGGGGTGTTGTCTATGTGTGGGGGTGTTGTCTGTGTGTGGGGGTGTTGTCTTGTGTAGGGTGTTGTCTGTGTGGGGGTGTTGTCTCTGTGTGTGTGGGTGTTGTCCATGTGTGGGGGTGTTGTCCATGTGGGGGGTGTTGTCTGTGTGGGGGTGTTGTCTCTGTGTGTGGGGGTGTTGTCTGTGTGGGGGGGTGTTGTCTGTGTGGGGGTGTTGTCTGTGGGGGGTGTTGTCTGTGTGAGAGTGTTGTCTTTGGTGGGTGTTGTAGGTGGGGTGTGTTGTCTGTGTGGGGGTGTTGTCTGTGGGGGGGTGTTTTCTGTGTTTGGAGCTGTTGTCTGTGGGGGGTGTTGTCTGTGTGGGGTGTTGTCTGTGTGGGGGTGTTGTCTGTGTGTGGGGTGTTGTCTGTGGGGGGGTGTTGTCTGTGTGGGGGGGTGTTGTCTGTGTGGGGGGTGTTGTCTGTGGGGGGGTGTTGTCTGTGGGGGGGTGTTGTCTGTGTGGGGGAGTGTTGTCTGTGTGGGGGTGTGTTGTCTGTGTGGGGGTGTTTTGTCTGTGTGGGGGTGTTGTCTGTGTGTGGGGGTGTTGTCTGTGGGGGGGTGTTGTCTGTGTGTGGGGGTGTTGTCTGTGTGGGGGAGTGTTGTCTGTGGGGGGGTGTTGTCTGTGTGTGGGGGTGTTGTCTGTGGGGGAGTGTTGTCTGTGTGGGGGTGTTGTCTGTGTGTGGGGGTGTTGTCTGTGTGGGGGGTGTTGTCTTGTGTGGGGTGTTGTCTGTGTGTGGGGTGTTGTCTGTGTGGGGGAGTGTTGTCTGTGTGGGGGGTGTTGTCTGTGTGTGTGGGTGTTGTCTGTGGGGGGTGTTTTGTCTGTGTGGGGGTGTTGTCTGTGTGTGGGGGTGTTGTCTGTGGGGGGGTGTTGTCTGTGTGGGGGGGTGTTGTCTGTGTGGGGGAGTGTTGTCTGTGTGGGGGTGTTGTCTGTGTGTGGGGGTGTTGTCTGTGGGGGAGTGTTGTCTGTGTGGGGGTGTTGTCTCTGTGTGGGGGTGTTGTCTGTGTGGGGGGTGTTGTCTTGTGTGGGGTGTTGTCTGTGTGGGGGGTGTTGTCTGTGTGGGGGAGTGTTGTCTGTGTGTGGGGTGTTGTCTGTGTGGGGGAGTGTTGTCTCTGTGTGTGGGGTGTTGTCTGTGTGGGGGGTGTTGTCTGTGTGGGGGGTGTTGTCTGTGTGGTGGAGCTGGGTGCCTTGGGCTCTTGTGGACGTTCTGTGCAGTCGAAGTTGCTACACGGCTGTTACCCCCTGGTAGTAACATGGTAGCAGCCTCTGGTGAGATTCTGCTTGCTATTCTATTCCTCTGGTGCACGTGCAGCCTGGTTGGTTTCTGATGCACCCTTAGGGTTAGGGTGCAGACCACTCGGTGCCTGGCCAAAGTGGGAAGTTTATGAGGCTGTCACCGTCACTGGGGCCTGGAGCCCGGAGCCCAGCCCTTCACAATCTGCCAGGTGTGCCCAGCGCTCCTGTTTCCTGGCTGCCTCTTTGTCCCTATTTGTCCTCTTCCCAGGTATCTTCCCAGGGCTTCTCATGGCCCACGCTGTGGTTGTCACGCAAGAAGGTCCCGCGTCACATTCCAGCTATTCGGGATTTAACTTTCAAGTCTGTCATTTCCCCTTATTTTTCTTTGTTTCTGCCTTTTTCCTTTTTAAATCCTTTCCTCATGAGCTCTTATTCTACACTACTCCATGTTTTCTTCAATATTCTTGCATAAAACAGCTTTCATTCATCTTTCCCCTGATGATTATACAAATAAATGCATTGTCATGTGTGTTTTGCATGATTCTCATTTTTTTATACTTTGCTTTTAGCCTGGGGCCAGTTGCGGCAGGTGGTCTGGAGGAATCTCACTGCAGTCTCCCCCTCTCCCCTTCAGCCTGGCCCTCATCACCACCACCTGATCAGTCTGTCTGACAGGGACGGGGCTGGGTCACGACTGTCTGGAGAACTGCCCTGGAATATCTTCCCTCTGAAGAAGGCGGACAGGGGTGAGATCCCAGGCCTAGGGGGACCCTTGGGCTTCGGGGGCTTCCTCCCTTTTGGAGGCGGTGCTCTTGGGAGGATGGGAGCCTCTTCCCTGGGACACCCCTGTGCTCTTCTCTGCACAGCTGACTCTAGGTCCTGGTTCAGTTGTTTCCTCATCTTGACCTTTAAAGAAGCCACATCAAAGGTGGAGATGTCAGTGTGCCTGACCCGAGAGGACAAGTGGCCTTGTCCTTCCTATGGCCTGTCTGGGCCATGGCGATGCCCCCTGAGCTGCAAATGGTTATAGGAATCTATGGTTTTATTTTTTCCTTTAGTTTCTAGTTTCTAGAACTCTGTTGTGAGAACCTCTAGAATAGGAAGACTGTGTGCTGAACATCATTGTCACTTTCGTCCTGTTGAAACAATACCATAGTTGGAAAATCCTCAAAGTTCAGCATGACCTTGGTTTTAGTGATCTTGGCATAAATGACCTTTTTTCTGTTTTAAAAAATGATGTCAGTTTCAGTGGGCATCAAGGACCTGTTCTATATGTGTGTTGGGTAGGCGTGTTTATGAATTGATCAGCCATCTTTTCTGAAGGTCATTGATAGTTGTCTTGCAATTCCAACATGTAATGGGTAGCAATGGGTGACAAGCCCAGGCCTGGATGTAAAAGGAACTCTAAGGACACTGTCGTGAGAACTGTGCCTGGGAAAGGGAAAGGTCCCCTCCCCGTTCTGTCAGTCTTCCCAGGAAACCTGACCAGCACCATCCACTCCCTCCTCCTGGGACGACTACTCCCCTTGAAGTGGAGGCTCAGGCCCAGGGGTAGAGGGTTATCAAAGGCCTGTGAGAGGAGGCAGTTCTTCCCTGATCAGCTCTGCTCCTCTAAGCAAGCTTCCTGCTAGGAACCCTGTGCACAGCTGTATATCGGGTAACATTCACGGCACCAGAGAGCCTATAAATGTTGTGAAAAACTGGTGCTGGGCGCTCAGAATCTAGAGTCTGATCTCCTCTGGGCCCGCAGGCGTAAAATAAAGTTTGCGTTGTCCCACTCTTCCAGTGCCATTTGCTACTTTACCTGATTTCCATAAAAAGCAAGAGCCAGGTTTTATCTGATAAATTTTGCTGCTTTTTCCTATTCCTCTCCCCTTTGGAAAAAAAGAACATATATTTATTATTTCTGTGCCAAAGCCCTTTTCAATAATTCATTCTTCTGGGCCAGCCATTTTTGGGATTCCTTCAAGGAGTGTGGATTTACTGGAGGTCGGTGGCCACGGGCCTGTCTAATCTGCATATCTTCTGTGCCTTCCTCCGCCATCTCTCCCCCACCCCTCCCCCACCCTCACACGTGTTCTTTGGCTCCCTCAGTTTGTGGCTGGGACCACCCCTCACTGCCTACTCTGCAGCGATGGAGCTGCAGCCCGTGAACATGTTAAACTTTCTCGCAGAACAGGCAGGAGGGATACTGCAGAAGGAAGGGGATGCTCCTGTTTGTGCACCTTATTTGGTGACCCTTGTGAAATACTGAGGCCGTGGGCGCCTTGCCTACTGTCAGCAGGCTGACACGTCTTAGCACAAACTCTTGCAGGTGCTAAGCTCCCTTTTGTCACATCCAGTGTTTAGAACAGTGCAAAGAAGAGTCCAGCCATCCAGGGCCTGCCTGCTTTGCACACTCCACAGACCTGCACCCAACATCAGCCACCGACAGGTGAAGCTTGGGGCTCTAGAGACCTCAGGCCACAGTGCTGCCTCGGGAGCTCCTCTGACCCAGACTTCCCACCTAGCAGGGAGCCCCCTCTCTGATTGCCCTTCCTCTGGAGTTTCCTCTTCTCCTCCCCCTGCACCCTAAACCTGCCTTAGCCTCTGAATGGTCTCCTGCCAAAAAAGCTGTCCCTGCCTTCACATCTGTCAATCACCCAGATACAGTGTGTGGTCTGTTGATCAGACTCAACATCAGCTCTGGCCAGGAAACCTGAGTTCTGACCCCCAGCCGTGGGAGGGCTCCCCTGCAGGCCTGTCCCTCCTTGGCCTTCTCCCGGAGCCCTGCAGCCTTCCTAGAGGCCTGGACTCCACTTCCTCCAGTTACAGCTGGTGATCCCGCAGTAACTTTTCCTCTGTCTCCTGCGTGTCTTTGGCTTGTCCCCATTGCTGTTCCAACTCTGTGTACTCTCTAGTGGAGCTCCGCACGGCCCTGGGGTCTCACAGCTCCCTTTGGGTGTTTTCCGAGATCTGTCCCTGCCTGGCCTGCTCACTGACTTCCCTCCACTTGGGCAACGTCCTTGGCTGGACGGGCGCCAGGAACACGAGACGAGGCTTTCTCCGTGCTTCTCGGGTGCGAGTCAGTGTTCTGTCTCTTTCAGAAGTGGTTCAGTGTGGCTACAGACCTGCCTTTCCAAACTCATCATGGCTGCTCTTCCGCGAATTGCTGAATTCCCGTGGCAAGTGAGTATCCAGATGTCTGGGCAGCACCTCTGTGGAGGCGCCATCATACACCAGTGGTGGGTCCTGACGGCCGCACACTGCTTCCCAAGATCCCTGTAAGTGCCCAGGGCGTCGCCTTGGTTTACAACCTGTCTAGTCCCCTAGTGGTCGGCTGTGGGTTGGTGTACAAGACCTGGAGGCCATGGGTTCTGTCCCCAGTACATTCACTCCTGTTGGCTTGGGACCAAAGTCACTGTACACCTGCTCTCTCCGCTTCCCTCGGCCAACCATACCCACAGGTGAGCGGCTCCTCGCAGCTGCACCCCAGTGTCGGAAGACCCGCCCAGGCCTCTCCGCCGCCTGCCCTCTGTATATGAAGACAACGCAGTGGATTCATTCATTGTACACACACGCATTGAGCACCCACCGTGTGCTATTCCAAGTGCTGGGGATGCAGCAGACGATAAGCCAGCCACGCTGTCTCCTCTCCCGTGGCCCTCCTGGTGCTCGGGGTTTCTCTGGGCTGATGGGTCATTGGCTCAGAGATTTGCTGAAGTGGGACCCCTGACCCCTACCTACCTGATCTCCACTCTCCAGCACTCCCCAAGCCACGGTGGCATGCCGTGCCACCTCAGTATTTAATTGTCAACTCTATTGTTCACAAATGTGTTTGTGAGGGTGTTTTTGTATTCATTCTTCAGATTAGAAATGGCAGTAGTAAATGTCACTGTGGTCATAGGAGCCAAAACACTCAGCAGCACCCACTTGGAGAGAAAGCAAGTACAGAAGATCATTATTCACAAAGACTACAAGCCACCCTCCCTCGACAGCGACCTCTGCTTGCTCCTGCTCGCCACGCCAGTGGAGTTCACCAGCTTAAAAATGCCCATCTGCCTGCAGGAGAAGGAGAGGGTCTGGGACAGGTGCTGGATGGCAGAGTGGGTGCCGACTGCTATGCATGGTGGGTGCCTTCCCTGGGAACCCGGGAGGCTGGTGTTAGGTAGCCCTGGGCTGATGCAGGAAGACTCAGGTCTGAACTAGGGGCAAGATCCTTCACCCTCTTCACCTTCTCATAGAATAACAGTAATCGATATCTCTCTCAAACACATCATGTAGGTTAAATTAGTGAAATTATATAGGTAAGATCCTGATTAAAAGCCTGGGTCATAGAAGAATTCCAAAGTATGAGAACAATGATAATTGTTCATTAGATTGTTGGATTCTCCCTTGAGAGCCTGTTTTACAATGTCCATCTCCATCAGCTGACCACGTGCTATAGACCACCCCCCCCATAACTCCCAGCCAGTGATCCTCTGGTCCAGTGGCCACTCCTGACTCCAGCACTTTCCTGCAGGGCTCCAGGCTGGTCAGTCAGGGAGGATTTCTGGGAGGGAGGGAACAGGTGGGGAGAAGACCGAGAGCTCCTCTAGCCTCCTGGGCATTTCCTTCCTGCAAAATAGCACCTCCAGGTGCGTCCTGTGCCTGGTTTCTCTGTTTGGCTTGGCAAAGGCACCACGGACCACCATTTCAGAGGGTTGCCCACCACAGGTGGTCCTGCCAGGGACCAGGGCTCTCGTGGGCTGCTTCTGGAAGAAGTGAGCTTCCTACAGGGAGACGCTTCAGCAGAGGAACCCCCTGCTAGAGCGGAGAGGAGACGGCGGGGCCTTGCCCTAGGTCTTCACTAAGGCCCCCCACCCTCTGAACTGGAGATTTGAGGAAATTTGAGGCCCCAGAACTTCCACCCTGATGGGCTGTGGCTGCCGGCAGCCCACGCCATCTCCATCTCACGCGGACGTCTTCACTTTGCCAGGCCCATCCGAGAACGCCAACACGCACCTGAAGAAGCTGCGGGTGAGCCAGATCAGCCGGAGGGAGTGCAGCAAGTGGGTCCAGCAACTCCCCAGGGCCACGCTCTGTGCCTGGCAGGAACAGGACACCAATGGCAACAGCCAGGTAGGGACCCTGCCCGGCCTTCCTCCTCCACCACCTTCCAGGCCCCCAGCAGAGCCCAGGAGGGAGGCCCCAGCAGAGCCCAGGAGGGAGGCCCCAGCAGAGGCCAGGAGGGAGGCCCCAGCAGAGCCCAGGAGGGAGGCCCCAGCAGAGGCCAGGAGGGAGGCCCCCAGCAGAGGCCAGGAGGGAGGCCCCAGCAGAGCCCAGGAGGGAGGCCCCAGCAGAGGCCAGGAGGGAGGCCCCCAGCCCACACCACCAGGACCCTCTGACCCCGGGGCCCTGGCTGGAGGCCCTGAGACTGCTCCCGACCAGTGCTCTTTTCTCCTTCCCAGGGGGACAGCGGGGTGCCCATGGTCTGTGCTGACCACGGATCCCAGAGGCTCTTCCAGGCGGGCGTCTTCATCTGGGGCAAGAGCTCTGGCTCCAGGGGAAGGCCTGGCGTGTTTGTGTCTGTGGCTCAGTTCATTCCATGGATCCAGGAGGAGACCCAGAAGGAGGGGCGAGTCTACTCCTTTGTAGGGGCCCCGGGAAGCTCCCTGGCTTGTGCTCCACAGTACCCCTTGGTGCTGGGCGTGGGGTGGCAACTGCTGCTCACTGCCATGCTCACCGGCGATAAATCGAGTCACTGGGCTTGACCCCCGCCTCCTCCTCTTTCTCCCCCTCCTTCCCCCGCCCCTGGGGGTATCTCTGGAGGTTAGGCACGGAATCAGTTCTCCCGAAACTCCAAGGGTGAAATATCAAATGTGGTGCGCTCGGGGGCTCGGCAGTGCCTGGGGGACCCCAGATGCTCGGAATCCCTGACAAGGAGCGGCAACAGCTGCAGGACAGCGTGGAGAAACCGACCCTGGGAATCCCCTTCCCGTTTCTAAGCTTGGACCCAGGAGCCGAAGCTCCCCGCGACCCGACGTCCCGATCACCTTTTCTGTGTCTTATGGAACACACTCTGACCCGGCCGCGGACCAGCTTTGCTCCTGGGTTCAGTGCCTGGCACAGTGCCTGAGCCTCCCGTGGAGGAATCTGAGGTCGGGTTGGAGTCAGGGGGCTTGTGACTTGGGACTCAGGGACCACACGTTAAGGTAATGATTAACTGGAGAAACAGCTGTGTCAAGAACCCACGGCCATCACTCATCACCTGAGGAAGGACAAGGCCAGGACGCGAGCAGGTCATCCCACTGAGAGAGGGGGTCTGAAGATAGTGTGGGATGGTGCACCGCGCCCAGGAGGAGGGCCTTTCTGAATCTTTTCTTGGTTCAATCACTTGACCCCACAGGAAAGAAAAATATTGATTTAGACCCTTTGCAGACACTGCATGGGTTTGGGCTCAAACCCAAACTCCTCTGCTTGCCTGGCCAGTCCTCATGGGTTTAGTTCAAGGCTTCATATGTGTCTTCCTGTCCAGCCTTCCAGAGCCCCCACAGGGGCCCCCAGTAATTAGTTAAATTTATTTTATTTGTGTATTAGTAGAGATATATAGAGAGACTAACTTATTTTCAGGAATTGGCCTGTGGGCTTGGGAGGGGCTGGCCAGTGTGAGATCTGCAGAGCAGACTGGCAAGCTGGAGACCCAGGGAGGACTTTAGGTTGCAATTATGAGTCCAAAACCCATCTGGAAACAAAATTCCTTCTTCCAGGGACCCCTTTTCACTTAAGACCTTCGCCTGATTGGATGAGACCCACCCATCTCCTTTAGTCAGTCTACTGATCTGTTACTTCACAGAAATATCCAGATTGGTGTTGATCAGGTGACTGGGTACCAGAGCCCAGCCAGGTTGACAGGTAAAATTAACCATCACACTGACATTCCCATCTCTTGGAACTTCTGGGAATAACATGAAATACAGGTCTGCCCTCTTTGGCATCTAATACACACCAAACATTAAATGGTGACAGGAAGCCACAGCCCCCTGCCCTTCTTGGCCTGTATCCATGGGTGGAGAGACCACGGAGACAGGGCTTCCTGTTCTCATCTGGACCCCCAGCTCCTCTGCTTGCCTGGCCAGTCCTCAGGGTTTGCTTCCCACCTGGGGAACTTCAAATCCTGCCCCTGTCTGAAGACATGCCTTAGAATTGCCTGGAAGCCAGTTCAAAGTGCAGACTCCGTGGCTTTCCTCAGACTTACAGAATCGGGAGAGTGGGAGTGAGTCATGTTTTTTAACATATAACGACATATAAATTAGCTAGATATTGATGTACGTCACTCAGGATTCACAGTCAAGAGCACGAACACATCAAGTCCAATTGAAGTTTTTCCTTTTATGGTTTTTTATGGTTCTTAACTCTTGGTGTTACAACTAAGAAATCTTTGCCTAATCCCAAGTTTTTAGTTTTCGGTGTACACAACATCTTTATTTTATGTGGTGCTGAGGATCGCACCCAGCGCCCCGAGCATGCCAGGCGAGTGTGTTACCACTTGAGCCACCTCCCCAGCCCAATGTTTTCATTTTAAAGTTTCTATATTTTAAACATCAGGGGAAATTTTTGGAGCAGAACCTACAAGTCCCTTTGGGCTCGCCTCAGGGGGCGCCTTCCGGCTTCCTGGCTAAAGTGGCTCCCACCATCCCCAGCCTTTGTTCCCCACTTGTGTTTCCTGTGTGGACTAGATTATTGGCTCGGTCTTCACCCCTTCCTGCGTCAGTACCCTTGTCATTTAGGCTAGCAGCACCCGGGGAGAGGAGGATGGACTTTGGGAGAGCTGTTGGAAAAGACATTTGGGATCCAGGAAGCCACTAGGGTCCCTGTTGGAGCCCTGGCCCAAGCCCCACACAGTGGCTGCAACAGGTTGCTGGGCCAAACCCGAGGTCACTTTCCTGTTCCAGGGTGCAGGCAAGGACAGCTGTACTTAGTAGCCAGCAGGACCCTCCTGTCCATTCTCTGACTATTTAGAAAGGCCCTGGAGATGTCCCTGGTGGCCAAGACAGCTGTCCGGTGGCCGTGTGGGAGGGTTATCGGGCAACCCCTGGACGAGCAGCTGAACAGGGAGGACAGGACCAAACGAGAAGTCGGGAGGCTCAGCCAACCTGGGGGGCCTTCCAGAGTTGTCCCAAATTGGGGCGAGGGGCTAGAGTGGGACATGCCCCTGCACTGGGCAGTCATTTGGTGTGTGCTTACCTGGACAGGCAGCCATGGCCTGGGCTGAAGGAAGCCTCTGATTCCCAAAGAGAGCCGAGTCAGTGATTCCTGAAGGAGGACCTGAGCTCCGCGCCTTGGTGCCCCCACTGCTGGCTGAGCAGAAGCGGTCCACCCCCCCATGCACCTGCCAGTGTTAGTGCTACCATGAAAGGTTTAAAGGGTGGAGGAGGGGCCATTGAATCCACGGGTAGGACCCCTGCAAAGATCCTGGTGTGCCCCAGCTGTCATCACGTCCGGCCATCCATTCTACCACGTGGCAACCCCCACGGTGGTGTCACTGGACACACTCTGGCACACAGCAGGCAGGTATGATCTGATCTGGGAAATGCACTCTCATGTCCTCAAAGACAGAAGAAGCCAGTCGGGTGCGTTGCCTGGAGAGTGTCGGGGCTCCCTCTACTGCCTTGCCAAGGCCTGGGTGCACCCTCCTGCTCTCTGCAACAACGCCGGAGTATCGCCTCAGCCCACGCATTAATACGATAATGCTCATCACACTTGGGGAATGGTAGTGGTACATACTTGGAATGCCCTGCTAAGGTGCTTCGCTTCAGAGATGGAAGGTAAAGGTACGGAGATTCAGGGTCCTGATGCATTGGTAGGAATCCAATGGTGTGGACATCCTCAGAACATCCCCTTTAAGGTAAAGGACAAATTACTGCACATCTGCCTGACATCACTAAGAAAGAGGCCCAGCAATTGGTAGGTCCACTGGATTTTGAAGCTAGCATGTAATAAGTGGGAAAATACTTCCACCAGGTAGGGTGGATGTCAGGTGTGGCGCAAAGCAAGAGGGCTTTGTGCTGAGTTCAGGCTGCAGTACGAGGTCCTGCCCCTTTAGCCATGCGACCAACAGGTCCAGTGCACTAAGAATCTGTGTAAGGACAGAAATGCTGGTGGCTCCATAGGCTCATCTCCCTCCCCGTTTTGATCCTGAGCAGACAGGTGGCTTGGTATGTCGGGGCGAGCTCAGCAGAAGGAGGGGCTGGCACTGCTCGCTTGGGCCCAGAGCTCCTGGGGCTCCCCCTAGAAGGCCATTTCCCACCCCAGGAGGCCGCCACTGTTGTGTGACTTCAGAGAGGCGCCTGTTGTTCCTCACGTCCAGGTCCGCTCTGTCCTGGAATGCTGGTCAGGGCACTTGCCGACTGACTGTGCCCAGCTTACAGTGACGAGGGCCAGGGTCTTGCCGATGCCGTGTTTTCCAGTTAACCCTGGCACCTGTCTGTGATGCCATCAGGGGAATGGCTGCCTGGCAAGGCAGAATGTGTCACCCTAGCTGGTTGGGGGTCCGAGCAGGAAGGACTATGAGACAATCCCTGCTGTGCCGCAGAGCACTAGAGGACAGCAGCACTTAGTCCTGGGACCCCAGGAGACTGTGGCTGCAGCCTCAGCTCAAACCAAGCCTGTTGCCATTGCAGTTGTATTTCCTGGAACCATTTTCAGTACCAAGTACCGTATCAGCCAGATTCTGCCAGGAAAATAGATCATGGTCCACGCACCTCACGCAGAAATGGACATGATACATGGCACTGGCTTCCAGAGCCATGAGAGGCCCGTGTGCACAGCAGGAAAGCTGCTTGCTCTCGGGAGCTCAGTAAGCCACAGGCCTCACAGGAACCCACTGTGAACGGTCTTGGGATTCTCCTCAGCATCAGGGTGACGGTGGCAGGAGTGTCCCAGAGCTCATGGCAGAACCGCCCAGCTGCCACGCGCTGAGGTCTGCATGCCTGCCACAGCTGCCGCGGGGAAATACGTCCTCTGCCCCCTAAAACATGGCTGGGAATCTCAGCTGCTCAGCACACAGTCTCTGCCACCCGGGGAGAGGGAGTGGGCAGAGGGGGGGTCAAATGTCAGTGAACACTCCCTGGCGCAGTGGCCTACCAAGTGCAGATTGCTAGAGAGCAGTCCTTCTGCAGAAGCCCCAGGGCTACCACGTGGCCAGCAACGCCCCAGCACGCGGCGTCCCGTCAAGGCTCCATCACGGTCGGGCGTCTTCTCAGCCCTAAAATCAGAACGACTCGCAGCAGCCGACCGTCCTCTGTGCTGACGATGCTCGCTGAGCTGCTCCAGTCCCCACCCCAGGTCCATGTGCAGTTCCCCCCGGTCCTGGGGGCTGTGCCGGGTCCCCTGGTGGGTAATGGCAAGGGTACGAGAGCAGGAAGTGAGAGCGTTTGCAGTGGTGCCTCCCCGTCCCGTTCGTGCTTGGCCACTGTGCTGCAGGGGCTGGGTCCCCTCTTGGCCCATCCACACTGGTGGCCCCTCCTGCACCCCTGCTGCTCTCCTGAGCTCACCTGCCTCCTTGGGGTGGGGGCTTACTGATGCCTGGGCCTCCTTTACCACGTCCCTTCACCACACTTTCAGCGCATTCCTTAAAGTACCTTCATTTGAACCTTCGAAGTGGAATTCCAGTTCCTTCTGGACCCTCCCTAACTGGCACGCTCGGGCCGTCCGCCTTAATACACAGCCTGTGGTTACAGAGCCGTCGGCCTCCTTGGTTCACCTCAGAGGC